AAAAAAAACAAAAAACACGACGTCATCAGAAGCAGGCAGGGTGGGCGGAGTTAATGCACACGCACGGTGATAATGGATACCTTCATGAGTGATGAGTTATTATTAATTATTATTTAAATAATATTATGAATGAACTGTCTTGTTGTTATATCTACAATTTTTGCTCAGACTCGGCTCAGAGAGCACAGAGATTATAGCAAATAAGTAAAGCTAACGTCAGCAGCCAGGCACTGGACGAGCAATCGTTATTATAATCCAAATGGTCAAACAGTCTAAATTATTATGCAAGTTGACTCGAGATACAAAAAATGCAAAACTGCAAAGTCCATTTGTCATCCGTCACCGTGACAGCAAGTGGACTTTTGAAACTGGAATAATGAGTGGATTACGCATTTCAATTGGCAAGAGAGGAATAACACGGATGGAACTTTCTTGGCAAGGAGGATTGTGTGCATCACAGTCAGGTACAAGGGAGAAGGCTTCTTACATTAGGTAAGACAAAAAGTTGAATTTTTGCAACTTGTTTATCTACTTGTTAATAGCAATTTGCTGTGGAATATGTGCCGATCGGGTCCAGTCGGGTCTGTGTCTTCCCGGCCTGGTTCGGGTCCATCTTTCAAATAATTGACGGTCCGCGTCGGTTCCGGGTAGTACATTTTTGACATTTCTCGGTTCTGCACATCCCCGTGTCCAACTTTCAAAATAATAGACGGGTCCGGGTCGGTTCAGTGTAGCACATTTACGGGTCTCTTCGGGTTCGGGTACGAATTTTTGGACCCGTGTAGACCTCTAGTACACATTTGATGTATTTTGTTTACTTATCGGCCGTGAATGTAGTGCGTGAAGGTGGCAGCTGTTGTGTATATAGGCTGAGACTAAATATTCAGATATATCCAGGTTCCCGCAGCTGTAATTGGGTAAGTGGGTGTTTGTTTTTCTATTCCTTAAATGTGAAATTAAAACCGCCAGTAGGTGGCAGCAAGTCACTGTTAATAAGTGAGTCATTGCGATTGAATCGAATCATTTAAACGGTTGATTCATTCAGGAACGAAACACCGTCATGTTGCTCAGAGACGCAAAATGGTGCTGCGGCTGTGTTTGAAATTATTTTTGTTGGAGAAATAGAGCAAAAACAGGAAACATGGTGTCTAAAACGTAAGTCTCTTAAAATTAACTTATTGATTTTATACAACAGTTCAATAAACAAGATCACATTTGTAATCATGCTGACTTTTGGAGAAAAAAACGGCACTCTTCGTGTGATATTAACTATATGAAATGATATAAATATATAAATTTTCTGCCCCATATCTTAAATATGATCATTCTAAATGCATTTTAATAGACTGATTCATGCCGTGAAAGATCGCACTCTAAATGCGCACGCGCACTAGTCTAACCTGCTAGACTTCATCATCTAATGTATGCGCACACTCTGTAGGTGTGTTTTGTGTTTGCTTTTCGCGATATACTCATAATATCAAATCGCACATCGTTAAAACAACAATTACGATATTATCGCAGACCATACATATCGCACACCCCTATGTTTAGATTTTTATAATGCATTGTCTTCTTATCGATCCACCTGTTCACATTTAAAGATCTGCGTGTTTGCAGGGTAAAAACATGGGTCGACATTTGCATTTGTCTGAACTCTGATCAAAACAACAGTTTTATTGAAATTCATTCTCTGCCAGCAGGTGGAGCGTTCGGTGAAACAGTTATATTTCTACCAGTAACAGCAGAACACAAAGCAGCGCAGCACCGGCCTTTGAACGTGCAAGCGCTCGTGTTTATTCAATGAAATCATAGCCTTTTCAAGATTAATCGTCACATTCAGCCATATCACAATTCTGGTCTTTCCGTTCTCAAATTTAAGACCTCTTGAAATCATAATTAAGACTTTCTTGTACAATTTAAGACTTTTAAAGACCCCGTGGAAACCCTGTTTTATATTGTTTTTATATTGTCCTAATAAAGGATTTTGTATTTTTTGAGTGATATCTGTGTCTCCATATCTTGCTTGCCACTGGGTTGGGAACTTGTGCAAAGTCTCATGGGTAAAATCTTTGGGTGAGATTCCCAAGGTGGCGTAGAAAGGCATTAATTGTATGTGTCCCTGGATTGGGGCTAAAATTATTGGTCAATTTTACTCGGCTGCATAGGGCTCAGCTACATCAGCACTACTGACTTCAACACTGGCTGGTTCAACTATTTGGTCCATCTCTACAATTCTTACAGTTGGCTGTATGCTTCCAAGTGCCGTTTGTCGAGGCAAGGTGATATCATATCTGGTGTAATTTCCTACTGGAATTTGTATGATTGACCTTTTTGTCCTGCAGACTTCCAACAGGCCATTACCCAAATCAAGCTGATCCAACTTAGAGGTCTCTTGATTGAATTCAAACAGAAGAAATGAGTCTGACAGATCAAAATCTTCTGGTACTTTACATTTAACTTGTGCCAGTTGTCCTGCCAGAATGAGAATATCCTGTATTCCTACTCTGACAGTTTTGTACAGTAGATTAGATGGCTTTTTGGGTCTGTATGAAACTCACAATTGCTCTTGCTTGGCGTTTTCTATTTCCATTGCCCCACTAAGCAATGTCATAATAGTAGACAGGTCTATTTTTCCATTTGTCTGTCCCTTAATCAACTGTTCAATCACATTAACTCCAAGCAGAGGTCGTTCAAGGGCAATGCTACCCACCAAAAATGGAACTCGCCAAGTCAGGATTTCTGTTGCCAGGTAAGTTCACAGTCGCTTTAACCCAACCATCAAAAGGCAGGATTTCCCCATTGACAGCCTGCACATTCAGAGATTTGGTTCTTGTGCACCCATGTCAAGTTGCTTCCAACTAATTCTGCCACTTTCTTTTGTCCTGAATTCGCGTCTCTAGGTGTGTGAAGACAGGCTGCACCATTCACACTCACATCCTGGGCATCGCTATCCACTGACCTTGCTTCATCAAGGTTGGCTGCCCTCTTTCGATAGTTTGGTAAGTCATTCCTTTACATTTCAGCATCTAAAAGCTTTATGTCCCTCTTCTCCACAAATTAAACAGCGACTGCCTCGGCTGTTGCCCTGCTCTACTCATTTGGAACATGCATACAGTCTTCTTGTAGTGGTGCAATGTTTTGAAACGTGTGGGCATGATCCAACATTTGAAGAATAGTGACATATGTGTTCAGTTAGTTTGGTTTATTTCAAGGACTTGAACTTGAGCACTTAGTTCGTTAATGGCTTTCATTATGCTTTTCTTCTGAGGTCTTGAGCTCTGTTCATCTCCATCTGACTTATACTATAGAATCTAGTAATGCTTGTGTTGGTAACAGGGTTGACAATCATACCAATACATGAGGTAGAAAAATAGTCATAAAATAATAAATTACATAGCCTGAGATGGCACGATACAATTTCTTGTAATTTTAAGGTGTCTTCATTTCATACATGTTTAAAAAATGTTGATTAAACTTATTTTATTTTAAATTTTTCCAAGTGGAAAAGGCACCGATTTCGTGGAATGACCGTTATGCTTCTTGTACACTCTTATCATGGTGCACTTAGCTTTCATAACCAATTGTAATTTTAGCACTCATAGTGAGCTGTACAATAGAGTTTGTCGGTCTTCATTAGCAACACACAGGCTTAAGCAATGGTATCTGCTAAAATAAATCAATTTTGGGTCTATTGACATCATATCTTTGTTGTCTTATTTATCAGGAAATAGGAGGGGTGTGTTTAGCTTAAAGGGAATTAATTATATTTATAGGGATTTTTGACAGGATCACTGTTTTACGACTGATCAAATGTTTTGTCCAGCAATCAATCGAACAGGCCGCAACCATCAACTCTGAAATGGATATTAATATCCAAAGTATAGTGAAAATACTATTAGCACAATAACAATATCAGCAGTTTAAGACATTAACTTGTAAGCACAAAACACAGGACACGCCTTTAAATACCAACAGAACTTTACTGAACAATTCTAAAACGAATCTGTAAACTAATCCAACACAAACACACTCTCACAGGCTATATTTAATGTACCAGTTCAGTTAGAGTATGGACATATTACTTGTGTTTCTTGTGTTGGGGATTCCCTACTATGGAGCAAAGAGCTTGATTGACAGGCTATCTGACCAATCATAACGCTGAATTCGCCATCTTGCCTGACAAACAAATCTGACAGGAGTGTAGCTTAACTTTGATGGACTTAAACTTGAAAAATGTTGTGTATTGACATCTTTCCACAGTTGAAATGAAATACGTTCTGATGTTCATTCATGTTTATTTTGTGCTTTAAGTAAATATGAAAAGACAATCGTTTCACGCGCTGCTTGAACTGAGGCAATACAGTGATCTGTCACGACACATTAACATTAAAGAGCCACAAAATGGTATTTAGTTTTGAATAAATAAAAAAAATGACAACATTTGAAAGCAGAAATCAAAGACAGGTCTGCCTTTTAAGCCTCTCATCTGTTTGTGCTCCAACATTTAAAACTTCTTCGCCCCACTGTGATATTTAAGACTTTTTGTGGACTTACAGCTGTTGAAACTGAATTTATTGCTTTTACATGCTTTTCAAGGACCCAAGGGTATCCTAATTTCTCCAGAGTGAAGGCACACGATTTCTGAAGTTGCTCCTTTTTTTTTTAAAACATCTTGCCACACTCGGAGCATTCTGGCAATTTCTTGCTAGAATGAGACTGCATATGTCTTTCCAGATCTATTTCTTTTGTGTATCTCTTTTCACACTGAAGACATGGGAAAGGCCTTTCTCTAGTGTGAACTCTCGTGTGGATATTAAGGGTTCTTTTATGTCTGAAACTCTTTTCACACAGAGGGCAGGAGAAAGGCTTCTCTCTGTTGTGAATTCTCATGTGGACTTTAAGGCTTCCTTTCCGAGTGAAACTTTTTCCACACTGTTGGCAGGTAAAAGGCTTCTCTCCGGTGTGAACTCTCATGTGGTCTGTAAGGCTTCTTTTTTCAGTGAAGCTTACTCCACACTGTTGGCAGGTGAAAGGCTTCTCTCCAGTGTGAATTCTCATGTGACTCTTGAGGTTTCCTTCATGTGTGAAAGTCTTTCCACACCGATGACACAAAAAAGGCTTCTGTCCGATGTGAGTTATTATGTGCTTTTTAAGGCGTTTCATGTCTTTGAAACCCATTTTACACAGATGACATATAAAACAGCTCTCTCTGAAATGAATCCTCATGTGCTTATTAAGGCTTCCTTTACGAGTGAAACATTTTTTACACTGATCACATGTAAAAGGCTTCTCTCCAGTGTGAATTCTCATGTGAGTCTTAAGATTTCCTTTTCGTTTCAAGGCTATTCCACAGAGTTTGCAGGTGTAAGGGCTTCCTCCAGTGTGAAGACTCATGTGAGTATAAAAGGTTTCTTTATGTGTGAAACTCTTTCCACACTGACTACATGCAAATGGCCTCTCTCCAGTGTGAGTTCTCAAGTGAATCTTGAGACTGCTTTTCCGTGCAAAGCTCTTTCCACACTGTTGGCAGGTGAAAGGCCTCTCTCCGGTGTGAATTCTCATGTGGTCTTTAAGGTTTCTTTTTTTATTGAAACTCTTTCCACACTGTTGGCAAACGAAATGAGTTTTTGTATCAGCATTTTGAGCGCTTTTTTGCGAGTAAGTCTTTTCAGTCTGTGAACAACTAAAAGATTTTCCTTCAGTTATGAAATCATGATGTTTCTCAATCAGATCTTTCTCTTCGTTTTCATTCAGATCTTCACTCTGCTCTTTCAGCGCCATCAAGTCTAAGGAAAAAAAAAAGACAATTAATTACATGTTAACGTTAGGTTAATTTCACAAAGAAAGAGACAAACGTTTTAGACATTTAAAGCATCAAAACCATCAATTTTGCCGTAAAAGGAGGATTATTTCAAAGTCTGTTGTATGTGTTGCACTTCTTTCTGTCAGCTGGTGGTGATATGAATTTGATGTTAATCAAACAATGCACTTAAAAGGAAAACAGGAAGGGTCTCATATCTGCTATGTCATGAATTTAATCCCTCACCATGAGCCATTCAAGATTTCTATTATCTGTTTGCAATTTAGGATCCTCAATGTCTATGTCAGAGTTATACCAACAACTCTGATGTATGTGCCAAATTGCATGAAATTTTAAGCCTGCTAAGAGCCTCAACAACACTTGAGTATTAAGTAGTGCTGGGCAACGATCAAATTTTTTATTTAGTTTTTATTGCGATTAATCGCACTAGTGTCTGCGATTAATGGCATTATGCACAAAATTCAATAATGCATTCAAAAGTAGTGTATTGTGCACTTTTTAATTTAAAGGTACTGCTATATGAACAAAAGTGCAATAACATTTGGTTTGCAAACACTTTAAACAAATAAGGTGCTTTTTTACAGCAGTATTCCTTTTACATAGTAGCAGTTAAAATATTTATTGTAAATCTCAACTTATAACATTAATGTAATCAAATTAAATATAAAACCAAAGCTATTTGCCACTGCCAGGGCATTAACGTTTTTATAGAAAATATTTCTAGATTGTTATAGAAAAACAAGTTATTCTCAGAGTCCAGAGCCTCGATCATAAGATTATAACAGGCACCTTCCGAGTAGAGACCTGCACTATCGCGGGACCTAACGCAACAGAGTGCGGTGCGGGACAACACTTGATGGGCGGGTAGAGACTCGATAGATCTGTAAAGCAATATATTGTGAGATGGCCGTGTGTTTCCGCGTCCCACACTACTCAAAACAATAAACCACAAAGTTAACAAAACGATGCACTCCACAGTGCTGAGCAAGACCGCTTCTGTGCTGTCTTCATGTGCTATCGGAAACTTCTCATTTCCCACTTATGAAGTCATGATTACGAGCTCATTGTATTCTTTTCTGTTAAAAATAAACGCGATAACGCGTTAACTTGCCCAGCCCTAGTATTAAGGTATGTGTTACTATCGTCGATCGTTACTTTCCAGCATACACCACGCCTACCAAGTAAGGGTACTATTGGCAGTGGAAACGCAAGCCTGATCAGGGTTACCTGTACCGAATCGTACTGTACTGTATTATACTGTACCGTACCGTTTGGTGGAAACGAGCCATAAAATATTACAAAAACAACCTGCTCTCAGTTGTGTTTAGTTTTGCAGAAAAACAGTATTTGTGAAGAATTTTAATGAGTTTTTAAGCCCCATCACAGCACAGGAACCATGCTTATAAAAGTTAACAATTACCTGCATTTGGTATCTCATCGCAGCTATGTCTCTTCTAGTGCCATTAGGGCTTTCGACAACATAGACCACAACATTGTCTTCTATAGCTTGAGGAGTATGCTTGCATTTGTACACAAGCATTACCATGGTTTAGGTCCTATCTATCTGACTGCTACCATTTGTGTTTGATGAGACATCTCTTTATTTTCACAAAGTATGGAGTGCCACAGGGCTCTGTATTAGGTCCTCTGCTTTTCTCCTTGTATGTTTTCGATGAGGGACATTTTCATTAGATTTCACTATTATTGTGATGATACACATCGGAGTGTATTATTGGATGTTAGGGCTGCATCAACTAATCCATAAAATAGACAAGAGAAATAATAATATATAATGAAAATTTGTGCTGTCAAACGATTAATCCAAAATAAAAGTTTTTGTTTACATTATATATGTATACTTACTGTGTATATTTATTATGTATATATAAATACACACACATACAGAATATATTTTGAAAATATTATACACTTATATCCATATTCTTATATTTTATATAAATACATTTAATATATAAAAAAACATTTTTTCTTAAATATATACATGCATATGTTTGTATTTATTTATACATAATAAATATACACAGTATACACACATATTATGTAAACAAAAACTTTTATTTTGGATGCGGTTAATCGTTTGACAGCACTAATGAAAATAAATCGCCAACAAATACTTTGAAATGACATATACTGTGTGGTACAGTACAAACATTTAGGGTCTGCAGTTAAGTATGCGTATAAAAGGTACTCAGACAAACACATTTGCGTTGCTTCACTTATTTATGTATAATTTCATTATAAAATAATATTAACGTCTATCAAAAGAAGTGACGTTACACACAAACCATTAGCAAATTGTACAACTAGAATTGTGACTGCATCAGTGGTGTAGTAGTAACTTGGTAACTTCAAAACAATAAATTTTATATATTTTGTAAAAAAAAATAAAAAATACACAGACACATACAAATGCCATTACAATTTGAAAACTGAACATAAATGTGGTGTCATTGAAACACAAATTTAGCTGTAGCCAAGTGACTTTGTGCGACCCACCTTGTCCCACTCTGCGACCCACAAGTGGCATTCAAGGCTAAACCTCGAATAAACCAAGACTTCCACACTCTGCTTGCCTCTTTTGATCTCAAGAGAGTGTTAACTACAGCTACTCACAAATCAGGCAACCAACTGGACCTTATTTACACACCACACTGCTCGACTGATCATGTGCTGGTTACTCCACTGCACACCTCGTATCACTTCCTCCTCACTCTTAACCTCAACATAGTTCCTGACACAACACATACCCCTTCACATGTCACGTTTTGACGTAACCTACGCTCTCTCTCACCCTCCCGGCTATCTGCTATGGTTTCATCTTTGTTTCCTTCCCCTGAACAGTTATCATCTCTTGGTGTTAACAGTGCTACTCATACTTTCTGCTCCACTATTACATCTTGTTTAGACACTGTCTGCCCCTTGTCTTCCAGGCCAGCTCGTACCACCTCTTCTGCCCCTTGGCTATCTGATGTTGTCTGCAAACATCATTCTAAGCTCAGGGCTGCTGAAAGGGTATGGTCAAATAAAAAAATCCTACTGACCTTAATGTGTATCAGTCACTCCTCTCTTCCTTCCTCTGCTAATGTCGCCACTGCTAGAAGGACATCATAACAAAATTAACAATTTATCGCAACTCTTGCATGCTCTTTATAACATTTTCCTCCCTCCTTTGTCCTCCTCCTCCCCCTCCTTCATCAACTCTAACAGCTGACGACTTTGCCATGTTCTTCATTAATAAAATGAAAACCATCAGTGCACAATTTTCCACACCACAATCTGTCAAGCACATCTTACCAGCAAACATACACTCGTTCACATCCTTCTCTTCACTCTCTGAGGCAGAACTCTCCAAACTCATCCTTTCTAATCATCCTACTACTTGTCCGCTTTATCCTATTCCATCTCATCTCCTACAAGCCATCAAGCTCACTCACATCATTAACACATCCCTTTACATTGATGTTTTTCCCTCAGAATTTAGACAGGCAAACAGGCTCGTATAACCCCACTTCTTAAGAAACCCACTCTTAACCCAACTCTTTTAGAGAACTACAGACCTGTTTCCCTTCTTACCTTTCATTGCAAAAACACTTGAACGAGCTGTGTTCAACCAAGTCTCTGCCTTTCTCACACAGAACAATCTCCTGACAGCAACCAGTCTGGTTTCAGAAGTGGACATTCAACCGAAACTGCCTTGCTCTCAGTTGTTGAAGCCCTAAGACTGGCAAGAGCGGATTCCAAATCTTCAATACTTATCTTGCTGGATCTGTTTGCTGCTTTTGACGCGGTTAACCACCAGATCCTCCTGTCAACCCTCCTTCACCTCAGGAAGCGCACTCCAGTGGTTTGAGTCTTACCTCTCAGATAGGTCCTTCAAGGTATTTCGGAGAAGTGAGGTGTCCAAGTCGCAATATCTAACTAGTGGGGTGCCTCAGGGCTCAGTTCTTGGACCACTTCTCTTCTAAATTTCACCAACCAGTTAGTCACATCATCCATAACTCCTTCAAAAACAGCCAGAAACCTTGGAGTTATGATTGATGATCAGCTGACTTTCTCAGACCACATTTCTAAAACTGCCCAGATCCTGCAGATTTGCTTTATTCAACATCAAAAAAAATCAGGCCCTTTCTTTCAGAACATGCTTCACAACTCCTTGTTCAAGCTCTTGTTCTGTCCAGGCTGGACTATTGCAATGCTCTCTTGGCAGGTCTTCCAGCCAGTTATATCAAACCTTTACAATTAATCCAGAACGCGGCAGCAAGATTAATTTTTAATGAGCCGAAAAGAATGCACATCACACCTCTGTTTATCAATTTGCACTGGCTACCAATAACTGCTCACATAAAATTCAAAGCATTAATGTTTGCCTACAAAACCACCACTGGCTCTGCATCCCTTTACCTACATTCATTACTTCAGACCTATGTGCCCTCTAGAAGCTTGCGTTCTGCAAGTGAACAGCACATTATTGTGCCATACCAAAGAGGCACAAAATCACTTTCACGGACTTTTACATTAAGGACATCACACCTCTGTTCATCAATTTGCACTGGCTACCAGTAGCTGCTCGCATAAAATTCAAGGCATTAATGTTTGCCTACAAAACCACCACTGGCTCTGCACCTCTTTACCTAAATTCATTACTTCAGATTTATGTGCCCTCTTGAAGCTACCGTTCTGCAAGTGAATGGCGTATTATTGTGCCATCCCAAAGAGGCACAAAATCACTTTCACGGACTTTTACATTAACGTTCATTACGTTCCCTCCTGGTGGAATGACCTGCCCAACTCAATCCGAGCAGCATCTCCAGGAATCGGCTAAAAACACATCTCTTCCATCTTTATTTGATCCTCTAACTCTAGCACTCTCTATTCTAATTCTATTTGTAAAAAAAAACATGCCCCTTTTTGACTTGCACTCTATTCATTAACTAACTGCTTGTT